TTTAGGTTGCAGATTATATGTCTGAGTCTTTATTCTTCATATGTAATTTAAAAGCAAGTTTTTCTTTGTAAAAACTTTAATTGAATTTCAATAAAGTTAAAGGTATGGCCTCATCATTAATATTAAAAAAAAAAAAAACATTTTATAACAGATCATCTTTTTTTTTAGTTTCAAGAATGATCTTATCTGTGTGTCTTTTTATTATTAGTAATATAAGATTATATATTATATACAGAGTATGTTAACAAAAGTATAACTAATCATATGTATAACTTTAGTTATTATCTAATTATAGGTTTTATCCATAAGTTATTTACTAAATGCTATACTTAAAACCTACTTATGAGTCTCTTATTTTAAATTTTCTAATTTTCAACACTTATTATATATATATACAATGTATATCAATATTATTATGAGAAAACAATTAGGATTATTTAATTACTATTTATACTTAAGTACCACCTTATTAAATATTACTAAGTATCTATAGTTCTTTAAATTTATCTTTAATACAAACTTAGTAAGTATGATACTAAGATTACCTTTTAGATTTATTTAATTTTTAATAGATTTCATATTTACTAGAACTGGTTTAATACTAGAAGTATTTGAATTTCATTAAGTTTATTTCTTTTTCATAGTTTTCTTTTATGTTTATTATATCATCTGCTAGTGTGTATTTTTTCTATTTCTAGTATATTCACTACTTCTTTTACATTAAGTACCAACTCTTCATATTGGGAACTTCTTTTCAGAAACTTTTTTATACATTGATCTTCTATTCATATAGACTTAACTACAAGGTTTCATGTATATTCATATACTTTCATAGATTACAGAGTTTTTGCCTCTAGCTGAAATTGAACTGTTGACCTTGCCTATGAAGGAAGGAGTGCCTAGACCACTAGGCTACAGGACCTCATTCCTGACAGATCACCTTTTTTTTATTCTTGGATTGGCAAAATTTATAATTAATTGAGTATTCAATGAGAATGCACAAGTAACCTTATCATGCAACAACCGAATATTAACTAACTAAATGTAGTGATAACAACATTTGACAAAATATTAATGAATTACTCAAGTATCAATTAGAATTCTTATTTTGTTTGATTGTAGTAAATGAGCATCATCATGTTTATTAGTTAAATGCATAGAGAATAATGTTTGAGGAAACTTTGATTACTTCATAATTTGCATATTTGATTCATTATTAAAAATTCGATGTAAATATATTTACCATTGTGTACCATTACGATCACTAACTAATCACATTGAAGTTGAGACTTGAGAACGCCATAAGTTGCCTAAGTCGACTAAGAGTCAAATCGACTATAAACACTATACATAATGTCTTTCATATAACTTACAGCAACATAAAAATAGAGATTGCTAATTAATGCATTGTATTCCTGTGATTTTAATTAGTGAATAGAATGATAGCAAAAACAAGAATTTTAGACTCAAAATTAATAACTCAATACAGATTAATTTGTCTATTTACTTGATGCTTAACAATTTTCATTCTTTTTCATAGGATTTTTTATTGGGTTAATTAAATGATAATCAATGATCGTCAAAGGCAATAGCAAAATAATTTTTTGGATACTCTGATAACCTGATAATTTATTATATGATACCTTGTAAACTTTTGTAATATTAACTAATGCGAGTCAATCACCTATAGTGTATGTTAAATGTTTTACAATTTATTAATGATTATTTGGTAACTATTGTATTTGCTTTCATTCCTGGTTTCTAGCGTGACTTGGTCGCGCAGCTACCTTATTTAAATAATAATAGATAAGTAAGAAAAAGACAAAAAAGCTTTGAACTTTATGTATTAAGCAGTATAATATATTTATATTACCTTCCAATATATAGTAGACAGTACTTAAACACTTAGTAAATATACCTTTTATTATGTGATTTAACATGATTCAAATCGACTTTTTTAACAAGATGTTTGCTAAGAAGTTCTTTGATTAGTAACGTATTATATGGTTGGATGTGTTTTTTTTTTAAGTTTACTAATGCAAGAAAATTCTGGGTTTACGTACCATCTTATATAAATATCTGTGTAACGTTGATCACAAAAATAATCATTTCCAATTTTGAAATACAAATAAGATTCTTCAAAATTTCGAATGTGCCACTTACTTATTAACTTTAAAGCTCTAATTGGGCTGGAGCGAAGGGGAGCAGAGTGGAAGACCTTTGAGTCTTACTCTACTGATTTCACATGATGTCCGGCTCCCACTCTCGTAATTGAATAGCATTAGTTGCTATAATTAAAAAAAGCTTTATCCCTGTAAAAATTTAATTGATCAATAATTTGATCATTGTTAATTGGAAAATATATAATAAATAAATAGGTGATAAATGTTATAATGATATTTATTTTAACCAAATAAAGTAAATATTAATAAATTGCAAAGTCTTTAAAATGAAAAAACATAAAAGAATTTATATGCCTGAACAAAAGGCCGCAAGAAATGAAGCTAAAAGAAAAAGATTAGCTTCAATGCCACCTGAAGAGCAGTTAAGTTATCATAATAACGAGTAAACTAAAAGGCAAGATCGGCACAAACATCAAAATAATATTGGCAAAGAAAATACAAATCAAAAGACAAATAATAGAAAAGACACACGTAATATTTATTTATTATTAATTAATAATTAAAAACCTTATATAATTATTTACTAACTAACTTGTTTAGAAAATCAAAATACATTACCACTACCACTTGCTAGCCAGCTTTCTGATAATGATCACAATCTTTTAAAAAATTTTCGTAATGCGGTTGTTGCACTTAGATTTAATTTTTGTTCTACTTGTAAAGAGAGTTTTCCTACAATTATGTTAGTAAAAACAACAGGATTATGTTCTAGATGCAGTAGAGAAAGTTTGATTCCAAAAAGGTTCTCAGCTGAGAATGATATAGATCCAGGTATGTAAAAAAAAAAATAAAAATGCGTAGTATGTAGAAAAATATTAAAAAATTAATTTTTTTTTTTTTTTTTTTTTTTTTTTAGAAGAAATTCTTGCTGAACTTCCTCAACTTAGTCAGGTTGAAGAGATGCTCATCACACAGATTCTTTCTATACTAACCGTCTACAAGCTTCAAGGTGGGCAACTTGGTTATCAAGGAAATGTAATTAACTTTCCTCAAGATATTTAAGAACTTATTACAAAATTACCTCAAAATCCTTCGACAATTGATGCTTTAGTTATTCGAAAATTTGGACAGAATCTTACTTCATTTCAAGATTTTAAAGTTAAACGTTTAAATATTTTGACCTAGCTAATGTATCTTAAAAGTAATAATCCTTTTTATTTCAATATTGAAATCGATCAGGATATATTACAAACTATTCCAGAAGATGGTTTTATATTTAATCGATTAAATACTATATACGATAATAATTTGAGCAAAGATATGGCTTTTTTAAATAATAATGACATTCTCAGTACTTCTGAAGACTATATTAAACATTCTTTTATACCCAATTCAGTTTCTAAAGAAACTGAAGAAGTAGCTACATATTCTGAAATTAATCAACTTGTAAATTTGAATTCCAATATCCTGATTAACTGGCCTACTATTAAAGATAATCCTATAAATGAATTTGAGGAAGTTGGCTATATAATGAAAGCATTTCCTACCTTATTTCCTAAAGGAAAAGCAGATTTACGTAGTACTCAACGATATCGTCAAGTATATTCTGCTGAATATTTTGAACATTTAATTAAATATCATGATAGAAGATTTGTACAACATAAAAGATTTCATTATTTTGCATTAAACTCTATAATGAGATGAAGAGCACTTGAAAACAGTAAAATATGTGTACATCAAAATTTAGAAGATGCAAATCTTACAGTAGAAGATATTTAGGAATTACTTCATACTAACAATTTATTAGCAAATCAAATTGTTCGATATGACAATACTCTTCGAGGAACATGACCGTATTGGAATAAAATACACAGTGAACTTGTTGATATGATCAAGCAAATTGGCACAAATGGGTTAATCTTTTTTATGTTTAGCGCAGCAGATTTACATTGGCTGGATCTTCACAATCTTATGCCAAATACTAACATAGCTGCCAGTTCAACACAAGCTACCCAAATGCGGTATCATAATTTAAATAATAATCCTCATATAGCAACATGGTTTTTCGTGTATCGGTTTGAATTATTTTTAGAACACGTGATAATATATAAGTTTGGTCTTAATGACTATTGGTATCGGTATGAGTGGCAACACTGAGGAAGCACGCATGTACATGGCATTGGAAAAGTTTCTAATGCACCAAATTTTGACTGAAAAACTATGCATCAGGATGAGGATTTATGAATGAAATGGTTACATACATTGATTCAATTGTTACTGTCATGAATCCAGATATAAACCCAGATCTAGCAACATATATTTCTGAACAGCATCCTTGTCAAAAACCAATAGAGCAATTAGTAAATGACTTTGACGACTATTGCCAATTGGTTAATAAAGTTCAAAAACATACAAAATGCTCACCTTCATCTTGTCTTGTATTAAATAAATATACTAATTTAGAAGAATGTCGGTTTGGATATCCAAAAGAATTATGTAATTTTACTATAATTCAATCTAATGATAATAACCAACCAAAACTTTTATTACGTTGTAATGATTCAATAGTCAATTCATATTGTCGAATTCTTCTGCAAGGTTGGAGAGTCAATATTGACATAAAGCCTATTCTTTCTCTTCATGCTGCACTTTCATATGTCACAAAATATGCTAGCAAATCAGAATTAAGGTCAGAGGCATTTAGTGAAATATTTTCTAATTACCTTAAAAATGCAAAATCTGATGAGCCAGCCTTAAAATCAGTACAAAAACTTTTATTACATACAATAACTGAAAGAGACTTTTCTGCCCAAGAATCATCTCATCTTCTTCTTAAATTACCTTTAGCCATATCATCTTGTACGTTCTTTACTCTTAACCTTAATGAAGATAACACATTACGTAAATTAATTCATGATAACAACATGCAAAATAATGAACAAAGTTCCTCAGTTAGAACTGAACTTTCTCATTTACAAGTTTATTGGGAGTGTTCTCTTGAGTTTGAGAAATATTATTTATTTAGGTTAAATAAAAATTATATATTTAGCTCTCATACAAATAGATGGACCCCACGCAAAAAAAATTATGTTATTCGAATTTGGTCTTGCCTATCATCAGTTCGCCTTGGACCAGCGTGGAAAGATTATTGCAGATTAAAGGTCCTTCTTCATCTCTTTCTTCGAGTATAGCTAATTTTTCTTAAGAAAGTACTGATATTGACTGGATTGAATTATATAATCAGTTTTCTGCTGTAATTGAAAGTGATGGAAATGATCTTTTTGGTGAACCTATAGATAATGAGGAAAACTAAAAAAGTAATAGTGACGAATATGAAGAGCTTGAAGAAAATAATATAATGATTCAAGAACCATGGATGCAAATAGCTACAAATAGTTTACAAGCTATAACTAATGATCTTGGAGAATGTTTTATAGATATTCATCATATGTGGTCAGGATCATATATTGCATTTCCAAATCTTAGTAAAGTAGAATCATTCTTAAAGCATGCTAAATGCAAACAAATTGAAACTACATTTTATAATGATAATGACAAAACTTTAATTGACCCTAGTACATTAAATAATAGGCAAAGACAAATTTTTGATTATGTAATTTTACATTATTCTAAACTTTTAACAAATTCGGATAACCAATTAATTGAACCTTTATGTGCTATTATTATGAGTACAGCTAATACTGGAAAATCTTATGTTATCAAAGCTATCCGTAATCGTATGTTTGAAATAGCACGAGAACATAATATTGATACAAAGAAAGAACCACCTATATTAGTTCTTGTGCCCACAGGTGTTGCAGCATTTAATATAAATGGTTGTACAATTCATTTGGCACTCTTCCTCCCTTCAAATTTTAAAAATTTAGAACTCAAAGCTGAGTCTTTAAAAAAACTTCAACAAAAATTGAAGGGTGTTAAAATTACCATTTTTGATGAAAAAAGCATGATCAGTCGTAGACTACTTGCAGTAATCGATCAACGCTTATGACAGGCTTTTTCACAAAACCCAAATATTTTATTTGCAGGTTGCTCAGTATTATTTTTTGGTGACTTCGGCCAGTTGCCACCAGTTTTAAATCTTCCTATGTATGCATTAGATTCTCGACCAAATGATCCTCTCTCAGAAGCAGGCTTAACATTGTCGCAAGCTGTGATAAACATTGGCAATAAGGAATTTGCTATAGGTCTTACATTTGTAGCTATTTCAAGAGTTCGTACCCTTACCGATCTTCTT